CGACAGGAGTGAAGAAGCTGGTTTTCATCAGAGAGCAACAGGCGACACAACAACAGGGAAAGTCAAGCAGTTCATACAAGACTTGCAGTTCTCCAGGTCAGGTCAAGAACATGAAGAAGAAAAGGATGACAAAAGAAGCCCCAAAGAACAAAGTTGGCATGGCAGCACTCAAGGTAAGTATAAACTGAAATTTCCACTTTCTGTGAGAAGTGTCTGTCATTTTTTCTTTCTAAGAAAAGGAAAAATGGACATGCTATGATCACAACCTACCTTTAAAGACACAACTTTTGTATAGATGATATAAGCAGATCTGTTCCAATTCATCGTCATTCGCAATTGAGGACTCTTTACTAGAGCTGTGTTTTCTCTCTAGAGGGAGAATTATAAACTTGTTAATATGCACTGCTTCAACAAGTTCCTCTAGATAGATAGGCACCTATGGCTAGGAAAGATGCTTAAGAACAGTTTGTAACTATATAAGCAAACTCAGCTCAGGAAAGACAATGAAATCTTTGATAACTTTATAGACACCTAAGTCCTATGCCTTTATCTTTCTGAATATGACTTTCATATAAGTTCTAAAAGTCCTAGCATTATATTTCTGAGAAGTAACTAGAATTCTGCTCTCTGTGACTTCTTGTGCTAGACAATGGCTAGATTAAAAAATGCCAGGAGAAAAAGTAGTTTATAAACAATACAAATAAATACCATGTCAGTTCTTAAACACTTCACCTCTTTACATGTTTCCACCATAAAAAACCCACAAATCTCTTTACTTCCTGGTCCAGTGATGCTGTTCTAACTCAAGCTTTAAGGCTTTTATGAACACTAAGCACATTATGCCTGAGACACCCACAATGCCTTAAAATGCACTTCACTTGAACTTTTTAGACACAGTCTCTGTCAACGACTTGGGTACTAGGTCCATCCTAGAATACACTTCGGGTAGAAAATTCACTTTTTTGACATCTGTGTTAATATCACAGTTAATATAATGTGCTTAAATGCTAAGGTCGCTCTATTGACTCCTCCACTGATGTTTTCGAAAGATGATGTGATTTACCTTTGCATGGTAAAGATTTGTCATCTTTTGTGTCGTATGTCTTCTTGGCACGATTTTTTATGTCATACATGTTCATGTAAGTGGTGGGTAGTTTCTCAATAGTTTCTGAGCTCATTCCCTGTCTCTCCAGTTTCTCATAACACTCTGAATTTAAGAAGTCATGGGATCGCTTGCAGCTGCTGCCAAATCTGCACTGTCCCTGCAAGAAGTACTGGCAAATATGGAGTTTGGTGCAGATCTTTCCATAGGTACAAGATCCATAAGGTCCATCACCTTTGTTATAATACAAGCAAACCTTGGGCAGAGAGAAAAAAACAAAAATTAAAAGACTGAAGTATAATGTTATCAAAATATTTAATATTTATTTGAGGTAAATTTAAGAGAGTTTATCGTTTTACAGTTGTAAGTTTACACTGCAATTTCACATATGCCTGTGCAAACCATAGAAACAAGAAACATTTTGACTCCATAACACAAAGATGTTTTCACTTTAAGTGGCAATAAACCCAATGCCTATCAATTCATGATGATTCTCTATGCTTTCACTGTAATACAATCTGCAAAACTCTTACTCCAAAACAACGCTGGAACAGCAAGAGCAACACAAGCCAAGGTCCATATACAAGGACTGATAGTGTAAGAGGGTTCAAATTCACTATTTTTGTCTGCAAGCACAGTAGCACTTTACCCATTTTGTTCAATTAAATTGCTCACAGAAGTGAGATGAACCCAAACCAAAGTCTGCAAACTGATGGCCTGTGACCAGGGACATTCCTCAGCGTAGCATTTGTCAACACTGTGGATGTATCTCCAGCTAGCATCAAGCCCCTTCCCCTTCATGATGCTCACGGAAATACAGGGATAAAGAAGTGCTGCAGTGCTGCTCACCTCTGGTAAGAGCAAGGGGTCATTCTGAAGAAGCAGCTGGCGAAGTTCATCACTGCTAAAATTCTCAAGCCCATATCGTCTTAGCACGCAGAGATTGTGCTCTGAGTGGAAGTTGTGAACAAACTTGCATTCCTTCCTACAAGTGAAGATAGCCAAGTTCAAATTTAATGTGATAGACTGGCACAGAGTTGTTATCCTATCTACAGTACACTAAACAGTTTCAAAAGCACACCAAATTTGCCTGCTTTGGGGAAAAAAAAAAAAAAACTTTAGTGTTTCCTTATCAAGTAACTATATGTGATTTGCCTTGCAGATTAGATAATTACCACGCGATTTCTAATTTATACTCGTCACAGCATTAGCGCAGTCTGGCCGTATTGCCATTTTTGACCTGCAGCTCCGGGCCAAGTTATGAGAAACCCCACGGAAACGCCAGAATCCCCCGCAGCAGAGCCCGTACCCAAACCTCGGCCCCCAAACCCAGCACAGCCCCCGGAGGCGCTGGGCCTGGGCGCGGGGCTCTCGCCGCGGCGGGGCCGGAGGGAAGTGAAACGGGCTGCGGCGTGCGGAGGGAGAAAGGAAATGTCGCAAGCAAAACAAGACTGGGGAAGGCAAACCTCTAGCATCTCCCTTCCTTGAAGCGGGGGCGGGGGGGGAATGTATAAAGAAGGACAAAAAGGATATAAAATGACTTCAGAGGTGGCAGGGAGGCGTGGACACACGTCCCCACAGCCCGGCCCCTCCGCGCGCCAACGGCGGGGGGG